AGCTGAAACCAAGAGTTGGAAGCTTAACCAACTGAGCCACCCAGGTACTCCTCCAGACTCTCAATTCTATTCTGATGATATATATGCCTATTCTTATGTTAGTACCACACGGCTTAATTACTGTAGCTTTGTAGTAAGTTTTGAAATTAAGACCAACATCGGTCTTTTTTTCCCCAAGAGTCTTGGCTATTTGAGGTATTTTGCATCTCCATATGGATTCTAGGATCAGCTTGTCAATTCATGCAAAAAAAGCAGCTGGGATTTTGATAGGGATTGCATTGAATACCATGCTTACTTTTAACAAAAACATTTCCACTTTGACTGGAGAGTCTGTTTTTCAAGATGCTAACTCTCTTGGTAATAGGCAGTTAGTGTAAACTGCATTAAGTTAGCTCAGATTAAAATCAAGATTTTATCTCTCTTTTGTAGAACAAATCACACTGATAACTTTAAATTTATTTGCGTGAAATAAATATTTGTTTCATATAAAATATTTGTGGCTTGGCGAGGGCGAGGACTATATCTCGTTTTGCTAACCACTGTATCCCCAGGCTAAGCCCAGAGCCTTGTCTGTAGAAGGTGCTCAGAATTTTTTAAGAAATGGAAGCATCTTCTCTAATAGGTGAGGGAACAAAAGCAGAAGGGTATACGGGCTTAGGCTGTCCAAGGTGATGCCCAAGGCACTAGGATATGTGAAAAGAACCCAGCTTAACCAGACACAAAAGCACACACATTGTATTTTTTATGTGAAATGTTCAAAAGTCTGGGGGATGGGGATATGGACTGACTATAAAGCAGGCATGAGGCTTCTGTTTAGGTAAAGGGAATATTCTAAAATTAGATTATGGTGATGATTGTCCAACTCTGTAATTTTACTATAATTCATTCCCTTGTCCACTTAAAGGTGGCAAATTTTATGGTATGTAAATATCACAATACAACTTAAAAAAAAAAAGAAAAGAAAAAGAAAAAGAAAAAAAAAAGAACCCTAACAAATAACTCCAGCTTGAGACCGGGGCTTCAGTCAATTTCAATTTTTATTGGGGAAAGTGATAACAGATGAAGTAGATCAAATGGTGCTATATTTCACTGGCAGAGGGGGAAAAAAAGGAAAAGGAAAGAAAACGTGGAGGTGGCATGATTGAAAGGAGAGGGGTCTGCACAGAGCAGTTGGGACTGCCGCTCACAGAAAAGGTAATGAGGGATCAAGGGCCGAGGCTCCTGTCGGGAATTGGTCTATAAAAGGGGCTGGAATACAAAGTAGAGAATGGACACTCGGCTGAAGGGAGACAAGGGACTGGAAGCCTAACCCATCTGCCCAGTTTCTGACAGTGAAGAAACAAAGAAGGTCGCGGGGCTTGCCTTCCTGCGGCACTTGGGGGAGCCCACTTCAAACACTGCGGGGCAGGGCTGGTCACCCTGGTGTGAAAAGACTGTAGCGGCAGCCTGAGGAACGTGGCAGTGGGAAAACCTTCTAGTTAGGAGCCATCACTTCACCGTTCACCCTTGTCAGCCCAGCTGCCGGGATGACTCAGCGGGGAAGGGAAATGATCGATAGTGGCCCCTGACAGGTTACAAGGGAAGAAGTAAGTGTTCGACAAATAGCTTCGGGTCATGTTGGCCAGGCTGTCGGACTCCCAATCCTGCCCTTGATCTTGATGCCAGAGTGTCTGCCTCCTTCACAGTAACGAAGTCTAAATTGCGTCCGGAGGCTTTCTGGCTTCGATATTTCTGCTCACCCCTGCTAAAATTCACCTGGCCTTCAATGCCTGCCTCATTTATTTACGGTGCCAGCTTTCTTATCATTCTTTAGCATGTGTGATGTGCTAGGGACTCACCTAAGATCTTTCCAGGCATGCATACATTCTCGCACAAGCCCAAGAATTAGAAACTGTAATCCTCATTTTTTTTAGATTAGGATATAAACTCAAAGACATGGATTAATTTGCTGAGATCACACAGCTAGTAAGTAGCAGAGGTGAACCTTGAACTGGGGTGTGTCTGATGCCAAAGCCCATTTTCACAGACAGCGCTGTCTTGTCTTTTCAAAGTGAATCTTCAATGTGCCATTCTACTTGCAGGTCTGATTAAAGATTAATTTCTTACTTCTAAAGGTGGAATAAATAAACAGCTAATTCTTTCCCTGTAACTGAATTGGGTACTCACACAGAGCAGCAGACATGCCTGGTATAAATAAAACAGACACCAGCTGTATTGCCCCCTGGTCACTAGTTGTGGAGTCAGGATCCCACTCCAGTCTTGTGGCATGGTCTGGGGCAGGGGTGGGAGTTGGGATAGGGCCTTTGTCACAGCAGCCTGCAGCCCTCAGAACTGCTCTCGTCTCAGTTGGTTAGGACCTGGCATGGCCAGCTGTGCCGCCAGCAACTCCAACACTGTCTCCAGAGGCAGGGACCTGGCAGCCATGTTGGGCTTCCCTGGGGAGGGACTGGAAAGCTCTTCCCTTTTGCAGCCAATTAGCTTGATTTCAACCCTTACTGGGATAAACCAGGCAGGCTTGCGTGTGCTGGGTCACAAAGCTCAAGTAACCTACTCAGCTTTCAGATTATTACCTAAACCATCACATTAATGAGATTCAAATCTAACACTTGCACCAAATTCAAACTAGAATATTATGGTAAAAGCCTACAGCCTTTGACCAGTCTTGAGGAAGAAGTCTCATTTTCTCTTACCCCTCCATAGAGTGATAGTAAGGATTAGATAGAAGGCATTATCCCCATTTTACAGGTAAGAAAAGCTGGCTCAGAGAAGTTTCTATCCTGAGTGTGCCTGACACCTTGTTTTATGTCTGTAGATACTCCATTTTGAATATTTGTTCACTGAGCCAGTCTTCCTGTGGTCAGTGGGGGATAGAAGAAAATGCAGGTACTACTTATTTAGTTTGTAGGTATAATGTCTCCATTTTGTCTGGTTCAGCATACTGGAGAGTTTTCCTTCCTCTTTGTCTGGGCACTGAATTCCTGCCATCTTCTCGGAGAATGCCTGCCCGGGAAAAGCCTCTGAGATTCTTTTGCCACCATGGATTTGAAGGGTGAAGCCAGAGTGTGGCAGTACAAACTGGTGGAGGGGAGCCAATAAATGAGTGGAAGTAAAAGGCCTTTTATCCTCCTTTGCCGGAACCATTCAGGAAGGCAGTGATGTGGGAAGCCAGGTATGGGCACAACAGCAGGGGAATGACCGATGGCATCATTAAGTCTCTGGGCTATTTGTCCTTGGCTATCCAGCTGTTTCCTAATGACATTTTCCCCCTTCTCGATTTCTTTTCCCTTTCTTTAAGAAAGATCAATGCGGAATGAAACAGGGTCTGATTTGAATGGAGGTTTTAATATAAGTGATATTTGTGTTCCTTAAAATGAAAAGGTTTTTTCCATATATTGTCCCATGCTATAAATGATATATATTTAGTACAATTTTTAGCCATAATCTTTCAAACCTCCCTGGGGAACAGCTGCATTATGTGTCTAGACCACAAGAGGGCAGTGGTGTCACATGTAAAAGATGCCTGCCTTCTGCTTTCTGAACAGATGGCACATTTGTTAGACTTCATTGGATGTATTTTTCCTTTATTGAAGCACAGGGGAATTTCACATTTGCAGGTAGAATGGGGGAAGATAGTTAAAATTTTATACCGTATTTTTATCTCTTTGTTTATGCTGATAAAGGTAGCAAAGGCAGTTGATTTATCCTCCTTTTTGCTGTTTTGAGAGATTGTTGCACTAACAAGCTGGGGTGGTTGTTCATTACCACCATGACCCTGGCAGAAGATGTTCTGTTGATTTTGCATTTAATTGGAAATCTCACAAAGATAATACATAAGCCCATCCTTCTTCCAAACCCTCAATACCCTTAGATATGACTTAAATCCTGCTGTTGCTTTCAGGAGATTTTTGTATTTAGTGTTTCTCCACACCTATTAAGTAGGCAGAATCTAGCCAGCTTTCTCTGAAGATGGAACCGTGTGACCTTCCTTAACCCCATGATCATGGGAATTCTGAAGGGTCTCTTTCACAGAGAGGTCTAGTCCTGCTGGGTTCTGAATGTCCCCTGGCCCCTACGGATGCAGGAGGTCTTAAGTCAGAGCTAATCTGTTGACTCTTCCTAGGGTGGCATAATGCAGAGGTTGCTGCAAAACCTGGTACTGTTCTAGCATCTGTCCTATGAGCCTATTTGGTTTGTCATGCTGCATTGGCTCATACAGTGTTGAATTTTAAAAAATTGCTAATACTAAAATGCAAAGACTTCTATTAAAGATCCAGGTTTCTTGCTTTTCTTGAAACACTGGACAATTGGTATGACTAGCCTGCACGGGCTCTGGGCTACAATTGGCCACAGCCACCTTTGTGGCTATATGTAGTCATTACATAACCAGCTCTTCTCTTTTGTTTCCCTGACACTAGGGGAGGTGCTGATTATAACCATGTTTGCACTGTTTTTGTTACAATAAAAAAGGAAAATGAGAATTTAATACCCATGTCAGTCTCAGAATAGCAAAATGAAAAAGATAACGAAGGAGCCACATGTCTCAAGGAAGATGAGCCTGAATGTAGCCTTCTCTGCTGCAGCATTTAGGGAAACTACCTGGTCTGCTAGCACCTTGCATTTTGTACCCGGGATGGCTGCATCTTTGAAGGTGGGCAGGCCTAGGGCTTACCTGGGATAAAGTACCGGCACTCTGGTATCTTTCTATCCCCGTGGTTAAATGGGGGATAATGTCATTGAGCTCTCACAGCAGCCCTGGAAGGTAATCACGATCTTATCTGGGCACACTGCTTAGCACAGTGTGGTTGACCACCTCCTAGCTTTGTCTTACCTTCCTTTTGGGGGCAGTGAATTTTTAGGCTGGAGCTCCATGGAGCCTCCCAACCCTCATTCTTTGATTAAGTTGTAGATTCACTACCCAACCCGGCCAGGGGAAGAAAGGGTTAAGGTGGAAGGGGAGGGAGGGGATCCTTTGGAGGGGCCCTCAGACCCGGATATGGCTAGATGCCTATCTGGAGCCTCGAGGTGGTGGCTGAGCTCCGTGGGGCTCCAGGAGGATTGGAGGAACAGACAGGAAATCCATTCTTGCTCTGAAGACACATCGGCAAAACGCCCAAAGCAAACAGCAGAGGAAGTTTGCTTTAGTGGAGACAAACTCACAACTTTGCTCTTTCAAAGCCTCTGTTTACAAGTCAAAGCCGAGGCTCAGGTGGGTTTTCTATGCACACTCACCTGTGAGGTGCTGCCTGCGGGTTTATAGTAACTGAGCTGGGCTGCTGTGGGCTCCAATGGAGATCTGCTCTCTACCCCTTGGGGAGCAAGGACTGCTTACCCCAGGCCTCCTGGGGTCAAATTTGGGAAAGGAGGAGATGAAAAAAAAAAAAAAAAAGCCCTTAGCACTGGTGAGTTTTCGAGTAGAATGTCCCCTGTAGGTTATGGAGTGAGGTGAGCAGCATGTTATTGGCAGATGCTGGCCTTGGGTAATTGCAGCCTGAACAAAGGTGGTAAATAAAAACATGCTGGAAGAATAGAAGCCACAGAAGATGTCTCTAAGGGGTAGTGTTGGTTCCGTTACCTGAATGGTGTCTGATGTTATAACTGGATTGGGTGTACCTTGTTCCCTTGAAATAAAGTCAGCTGCAAGTGTCTGGAATAAAAATACATTGGCTGAAGGTGGAGTTTGGTGAGTATATAAAAACAGTATCACAGATCTTTTGTAACTTTACATTCCAGTGAAAAATTTCCTGTGGGAAAAGAGGCAAAGGTGATGCTCTCTGCTGACTAAGAGGAAAAGGGAGACCCTGAGGAACCGGGGGGATCGAGGAGACTGGGTGAGTGACAGCGTGTCTTGCCCTAGAGGGGCTGCTGATGAAGATGTCTTAGGGAGGGTCCGATACCATGGTCAAGCCCAAAGGTTCTGGAAGCAGTTATCTCTGGTTTTGAATCCTGGCTGTGATGCTTTTTAGCTGTTGGGCAAGTCACATTCCTTCTTTAAGCCTTGGTTTCCCTTGACGAGAGGGGCAGAGAGAGATTGAGCACCAAACACAAGATGCGTAGGGCTGAAGGACAGTGCTAACATTGGCTCGAAGTGTCTGTTTTCAAAGCCCTGGCTTTCCGCCATATACACTGCCATCACACACCCCATCTCCCCAGCCCCACTCTGTCCTCCCCAACATCTCCTCCCAGTTCGGATTTTGAGCTCTTAGACCCAGTGCCTTTGGTCTTCACTGCTTACATTAGGATCCTCAGTGCAGGAACTCCCCATGTTCTGCTAGTTCCTTTGAAATCTAGTCCTAATTTTTTCGAAGTGATTCTTTGACTCTTCCCGGCCATAATTTCTGGTTGAGCTTTGCTCCTCAGCTTGCCTTTTTTTCTCAGGCCATCCCCACTTTAAATACTTTTACTTCTCTCGAGAAGCATGTGTGGTTCTGTGCCTCTGCGTTTCTCTCAACTGTTCATTCCCCAAGTGTGCCCTCTGAGGGTCAGTGGCCAAATAACTTAGGAAAATGGTTGCTTGTTTAAATGGAATTTTGTGCTAATGTGCATTATAAATCCCTCAAAAGATGCTATTGCCTGTAGGGTTTCTCCAACTCTTTGCATCTAGGAATTTAAAACTCTCCCTTCTTCGCTCCTCCCTTTCTTTTCTTCCCTGTTCTTTTACTGTTTCATGGGACCAGAATGTTTTGGAGGCTACAATGCCATTATAGTGGAGGTTATTGAGTTCCTAAGTAAGGGGAGCCTAAAGCCAGACTCTGGGACCAACTGTATTCCTGGGAGGGGAATATCAAGGGCAATGATCACCCCTGCTGTTGTTCTGGGGGGATTTCATATTTTGCATCTAGAATGGTGCTCTTACCATCTTACTGGTAACCAAGTCTCTGTCTTGTAAGACATTCAGGTAAGTGGTCTCCTGTTATCCCAGTTCCTGTGGCCTTATTTTTTCCCCTATTTATTTTGGAGAGAGAGAGAGAGAGCACATGCGTACAAGGGCGAGGGTGGGGTGGGCAACAGAGGGAGAGGGAGAGGGAGAGATAGAATGTTAAGCAGACTTCATGCCCAGCATGGAGCCCTGATGAGGGTCTCCATTTCACGACCCTGAGGTCATGACCTGAGCTGAAATCAAGAGTCGGAGGCTCAACTAACTGACTGAGCACCCTAGGTGCCCTCCTTATTTGTGATTCCAAAATCTGGCATCCTTTCTGTGCCCAAACTTGATTCTGTATTGCTGGTGCCTGCACACAATGCCTACCCTTATCTCTATCTGTTTTCTTTCAATTTGTCTTTCCCTCTGGGACTTTAGGATGCCTTGGTCTTCCTTCTTGGTCCTGTACCCTTCTAATCTTCCTTGCACTTTGCCAAGTTTGATAGGATGTAGGTGTTGAAGAGTTCAGGCTCTAGGGTCTGATAAATTGATTTCTGATAATTGTAAACTCTTGGGGGGAGTTATTTAAACTTGGGCCTCAGCTGAGCCACTGTAACTCCCTTATACAGTCCTGTTGAGGATTAAATGAGATAGTAGCCCATGTGGAGTTCTTCTCATACCACCTGGTGTATAGTAAGAGATCAGTAATTATCAGCTCTTACATTATCCAAGGCCCAAGGGCTTCTTTGATCAATTTAGTCCATACTGAGCTCTCTCATCTCTAAATACTTCATAATTAGTGTCACAGACTTAGCACTTGATTTTGTTTGTGACTTACTGATAGCTCCCCACACTAGATTTGGACTTAATTTTTTTTTTTTAATCAATAATTTCAAACATGCCAGAAGTAGAGAGAATAATAGCATCTTTTTGTAGGATCCTTTTGTATTTGTCATTGGTTGGGTCTTTCGTGATAGTTCTTTTTCATTCTGTTGTGACATTAAATCTCACATCCCTCCATACACAGGACACACTAGCATAGGCTGTGACTGAGAACAAGTCACCCCTTGTGTGGAAGTCTGTATGCAAGGATATCTTTCCTCAGTCTCTCCTGGAGGATGAGACCCCCAGAAAGGCTGTCTTTCCCTTCTTTTTTTTAAAGGAAAAATAGCAATCGACTTCCTAGAGACTATACTTCATTTTCCGAAGGGAAACGGTCCCACCTCCCCTCGTCAGTTCTTCAGTGGAGCCTGGTGCAAAATAATTTTTTGAATCAGTGACTTCCCATTTTTTTCCTAAAGTTTTTCAGAACTGCTTTCTAGTATCAGGTTTGAATCCCAGTTCTCGACCTTTGTGGCTTAAAGCAGCAGACTTGAGAAGAACAGATCTCAGAGCTAAATCTCCACAGCTCTCCCCCTTCTTTGTTTTTTTGCACTGGGTGGTTGACATCCAGGGACAGAACATATTGACTTCTCTCAGTATACTGAGCAAAATAAAAACAACGTGCAGGAGGAAACATGATCCTACATTTATTAATGTGGCATCAATGTCTCTGGAAACATGTCTTATGCCACAATTCCTCTTGATGGCACTGGAGCCTTAAATATCGGAACAAGTCTGGTCTTTCTCATTCTAAATCCTATTATCTAGGTTAGCTCATCTGTATTCAAAAGATCAATGTTGCATTATTACAAAGATCCTTTCAAGTGTAAAAAGGATGGCACTTCATTACAGAAAGTAAAAGAAACTAATCAAACTTTCTTGGTGAAATCATTGACTTTTTTAAGTAAAGGGCAAATTTAAGAATTTGAAAGTCCGAGATGCGAGAGAACTCTGTGGTTTGGGCTCACTCCGGCATGCATGCGTCTGGTTGTAGCGTGTGGGTCTTGGATAACCTCAAGAAGAAAGAGACTTTCTTGAAAGAGTCTCAGTGCTCGCAGCTATGCTCATTTTTCTGTCACGGCATGGTTGTGTGCCTTGGAAAAAATGAGCTGCTGGCGCGAAGACTCAAAGTCATGGTCCCTGGTGTGCCATATACAGGCAACACTTATATTGACCTGGTTAATAGAAATTGTTAGGAAAACACTGGTAAATATTATTTATTCATTGTCTTAACTCTTCTTTTAACAGACAGCTCTTATTTCTTATTATCACCAGTTGGGTGCCATGGGTTGTGTATTGGCAGGTAGGATGTTTATTAGGCGGTGCTCTTGGGGTCAACACCTCTGAAAGAGAGGGGAGGGAAGGAGGAAGGGAAAGGGGGAGATCCACATGCACGCTCAAGGATACATGCATAAGGAAGAGGGGCTCTGGAGCGAAAGAGGCCTTTTAGTGCTGTCTTTCCTGAGGAGGAGGGAGCCTGCCCTGTATGTAATACAAACAACGTTGGAAAGGTGCTTGATTTTAGCAAGCCTTCAGTCTTTAGTTGAGGCAATCCCCCAAGGGAGATGAGAGTTGAGGGCTGTTTGCTGTCAGCACTCCCAGCAGCCTGGGTAAAATTCCTTTTATTTCTGAAAGTTGGATCTGGGCGCATATCACAGTGTCCACCACTCTTAAAGGAAAATGTGCGTTGACCACCTTCTGTGTCCCAGAGCTGTGCTAGGTCCTGGGACTAACAGTGATGCATGAGGAACAGTCAGTCCTTGCTTTACGGTATTTCTGATCAGCCTCTTCTGATTTGTTGATTAGTATGACACTGTAGATGTAATTCCAAGTATCAGCTTGTATTCACTAATTTCACCTGCTAAAACACATGAGCTAGCTAGATTTTACAGATGGGGAAACTGAGGCAAGTGGTGGTGAAAGCTTGGGCAGGTTTTCCCCAGAGTCCTGATAGCCTGCTACAATACACTTCCCACATGTTGCCATTTCTGTGAGATCAAAGCCAGGCTTCATCTTCCTGAGCCGATGTCAGAACTAGCTATAACATTTGCTTACTGAAAGATATGTAGTGTGGCTGTTACCTTCCAGATGCACTATCCATTACTGGTAGCCCCTAGTCACATAAGCCGATTGAGCTCTTGAAATGTGGAAAGTCCAAACTGAGATGCTGTTAAGTGTAAAATACACACCGGAATTCAAAGACTTAGATGGAAAAAGAGCGTAAAAAAAAAAAAAAATCTCATCTGTCCTTTTATACTGATTGCATGTCAAAGTAGTAATATTTTTGCTAGGTCGCCTTAAATAAAAAAGTCTAAAAATTAATTTCACCTGTTCTTATGTTTTAATGTGGCTACTTTAAAATTTAAAAATGACTTAGTGGTTTGAATTTGTGGCTTGCATTTTGTTTTTATTGGACACAGTTCACTTAGAGTATCTGAGATTCTTCCTATGGGGACATATTTTGCTCTTAAATTCAGAGAAAATCCTATTTGGTCTGGTGTTGGGATCGGGTTCTTTTGATATGCTTCATTTAATTTGTATTTATTAATAGGGATTCTATCCACCAAACAGCTACTACTTGCTGGTTTCGTGATTGTTGAAAACTAGTTAGAGGCAGCCTGAGTGAGATGAATTAAAGTTCTATTGTTGTAGGGGAACAAGGTCATCAACTTGAAATTAATCAACGGATTTCAAATCACCGGGAAGGGATATTTTACCTTCAGTTTTACAGTTTCAGCATGTAAATTGCTGTTTAGAGGAGAGTCTGTAAAATCAATCCAGCCTTTCTCCCTTCAGAAATTAAAAGCAATTTATTTTTATTTTTGGCAAATCTTAGGAAACACTTGTACATCCAACTCCTTCACCCTGAC